AAAGTCAAGTTCAGGATTCCAAGACACCAGGAAGCGACTCGGGCTACAGTGCTGGTAGCCCTGACCTCTCAGGAGGAAGGCGCAAGGCGATGCGACGAGGAGCGTGATTTGGAAGGCCCAGCTGCTGGACTGCAGGCCGTACCTGGGCCCCTCTCAGCCCAGTACAGTGCTACAAATTGCTGGAAGTGAGGCACACAACACTACTGCAAGGCGACCCCGTTGTGCCCGCGTTGTGGAACCAAGGCACATGGAGAGGTGGCAGGAGCGGCAGGCTCAGTGCCCTACCGCAATGAGATCCCAGTCCGCTGCCCGGTCTGCGGGACACACCGGCGGGTCGGAGTGTTCGGAAAAGTCAGAGGTCCTCGCAGGGACAGGAGGCCTACAGTTTCCGGCCGCGGACTTTCGAAAGAACGCTGCGGGGACTCCTTGCAACACGGAAACTATCGCTGCCCCCTATGCGGATTGACTTCACTCACGGAGGCGAACAGGACGACGACTATCAAGTGGTTGGCCGGAAGAGGATGAGAGGGGAGGCCGACCAACGCAGCCGCGGCCCAGTATCGAGCTCTCCGGACGCGCAGCAAACAAGGATTAGCTTCATGCCGGCTGAGGCGCGGATCAGAGGCCCAGCGGTGGCGAGCACCGAGACCGCTTCCGCTCCTACAACAGCCCCTGCTACCACATTGGAGGGAAGACACAGTGATGGAGACTATTACCGTTGCAGGGGATGAGATTTAAAATCTTACTCTGGAACACCGAAGGAAACAAACAAGCCCTGGAAGTTCTGCTTGAGGAAGCCAGATACGACCTCCTCGCAGTACAGGAACCGTGGATTAACAAAGAGACAAGGTCCACGTATTGCCCCAAGCAGCAAATACCATCTGGTGTTCCAGCTCGAGGGCAGGGCAGCAATATACATCAGCAAGCAATTCGAGGTGGGTCAGTGGGATTTTGAGGTCTCAGAAAACTGGTGCCGTGTATGGTTCCCAGAGGTGGACCTTGGCCAGGAAGCCGCGGCTCGAACTGTGGTCTATCTACAACCCACCGAGCAGCAAGGTGCCAGGCGCTCTTCTGTGGCCGGCCAAGGCCGGCTTACCCGGTAGTCCTAGCAGGAGACTTCAACTTCACATCACCCACTGGGACGAGTTTGGGAGGTACGAGAGAGGAGCCGAGGATTTGCTACGGTTGAAGCGCCCAGTGGGGCCTTGTTCAGACGCCGAGGAGCAATTACCCGAGCTGTGGCCGGCCAGACCCAGAGACTTCCTTACATCACCCACTATGGGAGGGTTTGGGAGGTACGAGACAGCAGCGAGGCCGTACGTCAACTATTGATCACATCTGGACTTCAGAGGAACTCCAAGCAGTGTACAATGGCGAGAATTGCCGCGGCAACTCAGATCACTACCCACAAGCACTCGAGATAGGAGAAGGAGATGGACCGAGGCTGACCCAGCCAGCTGGGTGGTCCTGGAAGAAGATGGACAAGGGAGAGTAGAAGCCGAGTCGAAGCTGCTCTACAGATTCATTGGCCTCACAGACCCAGGTCCCAACCGCTTAGCGGTCAGGATCCGACAGTTGAGGGCCTTAGCAAAGCTTTCGACGATCTGGTAGGCTGGCTGACTTGGGTTGCAGAGGAAAGCACTCCTCTGAAGGCGAACTGCGGATTCAGCTCTCCCTGGTGGACTCGGAGGTCAGCAAACAGCTCGAGAGGCGAGGAGAGCCGAGAGACTAGCCAGACAGGCCCACACAGACTACCACCAGGAGGAACTAAACAAGAGGCTCAAGGAACGTACTAGAGCTATCAAGAAGGCCCGGACAAGAGCTTGGAGGGATGGGATTCAGGAGGCAAGCGAGGCGAAGAAGCCGGACAAGATGTGGGCGTTCGAGAGATGGGCCAGACTACGGAGCTTTCTACCACCCAGAACCTCCGAGGCTGCCAGCATTTAGAGACGCCTCGGGACAGATAACAGCTACGGACCACAGCCAGAAGGCCGAGGCTCTAGCTGGGAGGTTCTTTCCAAACCCTCCAGCTAACCTTACCGACATCAAGACCAAGCTTTCCGTGATGACTGGGAGCCAAGGTTCAGTGTCCAACAGAGGTAACACCGGCCGAAGTTGCGCAAGCGATGAAAGGCGAGCCCCTGGAAAGCACCGGGCGAAGACTTGCTTCCTACAGGCTTCTTGAAAGCGTGTGGGAAGCCGCTGGCCAACGTACTGGCTATACTAGCTACAAGGTGTCTGCAGTTGGGATGGTTTCCGAGCCGGTTCAAGAGAGCAAAGACCGTGGTTCTGCCAAAGCCGGGCAAAACTCCGCTAGCTTATCAGACACCAGGAGGCTATAGGCCGATCGCTTTACTACCAACCTCGGGAAAATAATAGAGTCGGTGGTGGCTGAGAAGGTTACCCAAGCCGCAGAGACCAACGGCCTACTTCCGGACGAACAGATGGGCAACAGAGCACACCGGTCAACAGAGCTCGCGGTTCGACTAGTAGTAGCTCAGGTTCAAGCGTGGAGGCAGAAAGCAACAGCATCGCTACTCCAGCTGGACATCTCAGAGCCTTCGACACGGTTAACCATCCCCGACTACTTGCCACTCTTCGAGTTGGGCTTTCCAAAATGGTTGGTCCTATGGATACAAGACTGGCTAACCGGACGGGAGGCAACCCTTCACTTTGACGGCCAGGCAGCCTCCCCGACAGCCATACGGGCTGGAGTGCCTCAGGGTTCTCCCCTTTCTCCGGCTCTTTTCATTCTCTATATCGCCTCTCTATACAAGCAGCTGAAAGAACAGCACCCCATCTAGCGATAGCAGGCTTTGCAGATGACACCAATCTCTTAGTCTTTGGCCGAAACCCGGAGACCAACGTCCGACAGCTGGAGGCGGCCTGGGAACATGTCTGCGGTGGGCGGACACCAGGATGGCATTCGCTCCGAGAAGAGCAGACTGATTCACTTCAACAAGGGACGACGGCAGTGGACCAACCAGCTCGACCTCTCCCAGCCGGGGAGAGGCACCAGTCCAGTGAAGCCGACAGAATCAGCTAGGTTCCTAGGTGTCTGGCTGGACTGGAGGCTCAACTGGAAAGCTCACCTGAGGGCTTTGGAACGGAAACTGGTGACCCAAAGCTATGCTCTGTCAAGAATCGCAGCCAAGACGTGGGGACTGGGTCTGGCTAAGGCACGGGAGGTGTACTCAAAATGCATCCGGTCGGCGCTAGCTTATGGGGCTTCATCTTTCCACATCCCCACAGAAAAAGGAGGCAAGCCAGCAACGAAGGGAATCACCAAGGATCTTGGGAAGGCTCAAAACTCCTGCTTGCGGATCGTGGCAGGAGCTTTCAAGTCCACTCCAATCCGCAATCTTGAGACAGAAACATGGGTGCCGCCATTAGACCTATACCTCAACAAACGACTTGCCGACTTCGAAACCAGGCTTCAACAACCCGCTCTCGACGACGGCCAAAGGAGATAAAGGCCCCAGGGACCATTGTCCATGCAGCTTGCAGCAAGATACGCCGGAGGTTTTCCTTAAGGCCGAGCAACAGGGGCCGACCACGGGCCTTAAGGCCACAGAGGCCGACAGCGGTAGAAGAGGCCGCAGGAGTAATAGCGCGTTGGACCGGGGGAACCACCGACACGGACAGGGTAGTTGAAGAGACTTGGAGAGAGAGATGGCTAAAGGGACGAGACAGTCGGGCGACGACGAGACCAGCGGATGACCTCGACCACCAACGGGAGACTCTATTCAAGGACAAGACTCTTAAGAAGCACGAGGGACTGAGCAAAGCGAAGAGCTCGTTGTTGGTCCAGATCCGAACTGGGGACATAGGCCTCCGGGACTTCTTGTTCAAACGGGAGTCCCAGTGTGCTGACGCCCTGCTGCGAGTGCGGGGAAGGGCGGGAGACTGTCGAACACCTGGTGATGTGGTGTTTGGCCCCGCCGTTGACTCGGACGTGGGAGAGAACAGAAGTCAGGACGCGACGGGACTTTTACTCTGTTCTACAGGGTGCCAGTCCTTCGACTGCTCGGCTGACGAGAAGGATACTGGGCTGGCTGATGGATTCAGGAAGACTGCCGATGTACAGCTTGGCTAGGAAGCTCGAGCTGGAGTAGGCAATCTGACTCTGACCCGTCGAAGGCCAAGAGGCCTTCTCTTTTTGTATTTCGCAGGCTCATTCACTGATTTCTTACCTTAATCGTCGGTACAGGTTTTTTCACCCGACCCGCAAGGGCGCGGTTTTCCTGTACAGTAAATAGCTGAGGGTCCGACATGCCCGCAGGCACAGGCGGGAAGGGTGAGTCGAATCTCCGTAGAAAACGCGTACGGAGCGGTGGCTGGCGTTTGACAAATCGATGTGCCCAGAGCTTGCCGACAGAGGGCGCGTCGCGTTTGCGTAGCAGGTGATTAGCCATATCTTTTACACCACTGAGTCTTGGTGGAAAAGATCGCCTGGAGAGCGCAATAATATATTAAAAAATAGCCTCCTTTTAGGATTGAGTAAACTTCTTCACCCCGGGCGTTGTGTTATATCGTATAGTCGCGCCATCACGTTGCCGTGTGAGCAGGACGGCTGACATTGTAGATGTTCGCTGCAGCAGAAAAAGTTGGTGTTGAAGAGAGAGGTAACGTTAACGCGTCACGTAGAAAAGTGGCCCACTCACCAATATGGCCCACTTACTGATAACGCACGTTAGAACCGCACTTTGAGTTCCATCCCGGTGGTAATATTTAGTGCTGAATCATTTGCTTCAATCCCCTCGCAGTGGTTCAACAATAGATCTGAGTACTGAGGGTTTGAATGTTTACCTTTTTAGTTATAGTTGCCTACTCGGGCTACTATCTTCCGTTGCTTTAACAAATTCTTTATCAAGCAAGTTAGGCACCTCATTTGTGATCCATTTCTTTCATCAACAATTATTTAGAGAATGTTAATTTTGAACCTTTCGATCTGATGAATCTTGGGCTCATTTTGAACGTTCCCAATCCGAGGGATCAAGAGCTGTTTGCTCGGTGTAGTGGTAGCATACTTGCTTTGGGTCAAACCAGCAATTTGCAAGTGGTCCCAGGTTCAAGCCCTGGCTCGGCCCCTAATTTTTCTCTTTTACCTTCTCGACAAGTTTGAAGCTGTGATAACTTTTTGGCCGTGACTCGTTTTTTGAGCTTGAATTCATTGGTTCGACTGCCTCACATGATCTCTGCGCTGACTAGAAATCGCTGACTAAAAAAAGAAATGTCATCTCGACACCCAACCATCAGACCGCAAACACTTCATTCGCCTTGGCCACAATCGCCTCAACGGCAGTCCGATACAGTTGCGTTCCAACACTGACTCTTGCAGCACCCCATTCCGCCACATCAGCGCTGGTCAGCGTCTTGCTCTGAACTCCCCCGGCCGTCCTCGGCTGGATATTCGCCCGCCCATTAAACGCATCAATCACCTTTTTCACATCCTCCTCAATCATATCCTTGTCCATCGGCCAAAAAACATACACCGTCGCCGCCCCAGCTACAAGGAACTTCTTCCCCCTCCTGATCGACTCATCCAACTCCCCGCCCATCAAAAAGCATCCGCTCTCGCATTAACCACAAAGTCCCTAACCCCACCTCCCCGCAGCCCTCATCGCCCTCCTAACCCTCTCCACCGCCTCCTCCTCCCCATCATCCTCCCATCCTCATGATGCGAGTCCTCCAGATTCACCCCGACCGCCCCCAACTGCGTAATTACAAACCTCACAACCTCCTCCAACTCCTCACCATACCCATCCTGGATATCCACCGTCAGCGGCAAGCCCAGCTGGCGCGCGACGGCGGCGATGGGCTGGAGGAGGGCCAGGTTCTGCTCGCGTGTGAGCTGCTCGTCGTCGATGCCGATGGACTTGGCGAGGGCCCAGCTTGCGGAGGCCAGGGCGCGGCATTGCGGGAGGGAGCCGACTGCGCGCGCGGAGATGGCGTCGTATACGTTGGCGAGCAGGAGGGGGGCACCTGGGACGTGGAGAGATTTGAAGTGCGCGGCGCGGGCGCCGGTGGCGGTGGGGTCGTAGGACATTGTAGGTAAGTTGGGGTGATTTGTGGTGGTAGGATTGTTGAGTTGATGGGCCAATTTGAGAGGAGTTCAGCTTGTGACGGGTGAGGACGACGGTGATCTTTATCATCAAGGGCTGCCCTCGCAACCCGCGTTGAGCCGATGCCGGCCGGCGTTAGGTCACATTGCAGACCCGACTGATACAGCGCCTCCGCTTCTGCGAGTCATCGAAGGGCATAGGATGCATCAGAGCCTCGAAAGCACTGTTCGCATTCCCGTTGGGGAAAAGGATATGCAAATCTGCAGAACTTGTATTGATATGAGCTATCTAAATGTCGTAACATCGTGAAATAAAGGAAGGTAAGAAGAGGTATCGAGCTCCACGCAATGCAACAACCCAGTCGACACGCAGCCGCAGCTGCATGCCGGCCAGATCCAGGGCAGTCGGGGATCTTGGCGGACCTGCTACGAGCCGTCATGGCCCAGCACAACCCAGGAGTCGACGTCGTCGTCCATCGATGCCGCCCCGGCATCCCCATTACATGACTTCTCCCCAAGTGAATTATCCGTCCAAGCATCAAGACCGTCAAGAAAATCGTCCTCCGAAACCACCGAGCCGGAATCGTCCGCCAGCTCGTAAATAACAGTCAACCGGGTATCATGCACAACCTCTTTCGCGCGAGCTGCCGGAGCAGACACGCCGTCAGAAGAACTGGAAACAAACCACCCAGCCAACGCCTCGTCCTCCCCCAACGCCGAAAACGCCAAATTGACAGACAACGCAACCCGCAATGCCCTGTCCTCCTGCCGCCTGCCCCTCCGCGCGCGCCGAACACGCACGGAGTAGACCGGCTCCTCCCTAAAAATCCTATCCAGAGAAAACCCTTCTCCCCGCTCATGCTCATCGTCATACAGCAGGCCCATGCGGTACAGCTCCTCCAACTCTGCCTGCTCTCTCCTCATCCGCACCGCATCCTGCGCATTATTTGAGTGTGCAATTCTCTCCGGTGACGCACACCTTCTCCGCTTAGTCGTCTTCTCATCCAGAAACGCGTTCTGCCGCTCCAAAGATGGTGGTCGACTTCGCCCGCTGCTGCTTGAACTGCTCCTGCTCCTTGGGTTTTTCCGCTCGGGTTGTTTTTGTTCGTCTATCCATCTCACTTCCCCCGGCAGCGGCACGCTCGACCGCGCCAAGGCACAACCTTCCTCAATGTCGTTTAGCCAGGACTCGTGGCGCGGTTTCGTGTGGTGTGTCTGCGCTGGGGATGAGATCAAGGCCGATGTGTGTTGGTGGATCGTCCGGCTGTGGTTGTTGAGGGGATGTCCCTGTCGCAAGCGGTGCGGCTTGCGCTGGGCCGCGTGCGGGCGTTTACATTGCTGCAAGAGTGGGTGATTGAGGCCTGAGAAGAGGTTTGAACAGGTCGTTGGAGATTGGCGAAGATGGATGGAACGCTAGGCAGCCCTGCCACCATTGTCGTAGCGCCCGTCACCCCTGGTCGTCACGCAAGGCAGAACCCCAGCGTCATCTGATCGACGGCAGGGTTGAGAACATCAAGAAACTTCGATCGTTCGGAAGACAAGGAAAGAAGGTTGAAGGGCCATGTGAAAATCTTTCTTTCACGTTCGGCTCGCAGCTAACCAAGACATGGAGAGGACAAGCCGAGCTCTCCCTCTTCTCGCCTCACATCTTTTTGAGCAGTCTTTTAGCCTTTGGTTGGTTTGTCCACAACTCTTGATCTGGGGCCAGAGGGAGGGCGGCTATTCTGGACCCTCCAATTGGCCTGAGAATGCGCCATAATTAGAGGTCAAAGTTGCAGGGACAAAAGACGAGCAAAGGCATGGCGAAGAGGCAAATGGGGAAATTTGACACAAGCTAACGTTATAACTAACTATGTAATTCCCATAACTACTCCAGGCAGCAACCAGACCCCGCACGACTAAAGTTGCCAAACATCAAGGAACTCAATCTCGAATTTCTGGGTTTTGAACATTTGAAAACGGGTTTCTCTCCTTTCTGGCGCCTCCGAAATCAATATTCCTGATATTCCACGAGACAGGCTTGGCTGGCACATTCTTTCGGACCTTGTTTCAGGCCCAACCACACTCGAGATTGTGGACACAATTGAGCAGCAGTCCGGCATACAATGACAGGCGCGCCGGCTTCACCATCTTCTCCCAGGATTCCAACGGGCCTCTCTCAGAATGGCACAACGAGCCGCTGCCGTTTTCCATAACACTCGACGAGGTGCAAGGCCTGGACCATGTTACCAAAATGGAAGATATCTCTATGGATATTCCAGTGATTTATCTCGTTCTCGAGGAAAAAAAGCAGCCGCGCTTGGGCGGATCACCGGTGTCGGGTTTCTGTCGACTCAGTTGGGCGAGGGATATAGTTTCCACCGAAACATCCAAAACAGGCTGCACAGCTTCAATGATGCCTGCTACATGGACCAGTACGACCGGCCTGTGTTGGCTTAAGAGTTGGTAGAGCGGCGTCAAGCCAAATTTGCTTTGGAGTATCTGGCTCGACCGGAAGTTCCAGAAGCTGATGTGCAGATTGTGGTGTTGGAGAGGAAGAAGACTGACGCGCTGGCGACTATGTCGGGTCTAATTACCCAGTGGGCATCCTGGATGCATAACCCGGAGAAGGTTGCTGATGTGCCTGGCCTATCTGGTGCGCTCGCCGACGACGACGTAGAATCTGCCATTGAGGGAGGTGTGAGACGCGCAGCAGCGGCAAACCGAGGCGTGGAAGACGTCTGAACAAAAGAAGGCAATAGAAGACCCTCTCGAAAAGACTCGTCTTGCGTAGTACAAGCCGACGGTTGCTCCTCAGGGTTACTACTGGAACTGCGACCCAGAACCCCAAGAGGAACCCCCTACTCAAGAACCCTTTCCAGCAGGCCCCATCAAAGCCCGCCCCTTCCGCACTGCAGACGGTACCCTCTCCCCATTCCTCTCCACCTTCACCATCTCCTCCGGCATCCTCCTCTGGAGCCACATCCTCCCCATGCACTACGGCTCTCTTCAGTCCATCTTCACCGACAACGCCGCCTCCCCGCCCCCCCATGCTCTCCGGCGGTACCATCAAGCAGCACGTCTACACCTAGCACTCTGCCGCCCGCAACGGCGACTGGAAGTTTGCCGGTATTTTAGCAACTGGCGCGAGCGGGATGGGCCGTACCGCCGCCCGGCAGCAGGGCATGTTGAATGGGTGTTCTGCCACGCTGATGTTGATCCGATGGATGTTATCAGCAAGGTCAGGGCTATTGATACAAACCAGGGGGTTGATCAGTCTCGGGAGCAGGCATGTAAAAAAGGATGTGATTTATATTGGAAGGTATGACTGGCGCCATCAGTGACATCATCCAGAGAATAGGGAGTTTGAAGCCAAGTTTAAGCGGTGGGCAGAGCCGGCTGTTGGGCCCGTTGTTCTAAATGCTCGGTGGATAGTTCCGGAGTGTGCTGTTAAAAAGGGGGGGTACTTTACCGCGGTGGATGCGCAGCAGTGTGGGCTGGACTTCTTGAGCGCTTATAAACGGGAGTGTGAGGGAGACAAATCAGATGGGGCTGATGCAGTTGAAATTATGTTTGGGACGGATGATGGGCGGCGGGTTGGGGTATATGTCCGGCATCCCAAAACGGAGTATGAGTTTGGTAAGTGCCCCCTTAAACCCTGAAAAGGTGGAAAAGGCTGACACAGATTAGGATGACTGGTGTTTTTTTGGAAAGAGACATGTCCAGCATAATGCTGACGTGCTCATTGCTATTGTCTATAACGGGGCGTATGAGGTCTTCGAGGGCCTGTATCATGCTGTCGAGCTGGAGCGGGAGGAGTTAGGGAACACGGCGTGCCGTCCGGGTTGGACCTCTAGCTGCGCGGCAGCCTGCAGGACTGTGCGGAAGATCTGACTTACGGAGCGGGTGTTTGCATTGGGTTCAAGGGTAGGTAGGCAAACACTTTTTTTTTTGATTGGGCACCCAGTGTTCATTTAAAACTCCTTTGCATCTCCCTTTACCCTTGTTTATTTCTTCCCGGGCCATTTGGATCGTTCATTATCTAGG